TTTTCTTATTGTCATAGAAATGCAAAACCAACTAATATTATTCAAAAAATCAATCTAGCATGCTGCTAGATGTCTATATTTTGCACTATACTTGTAAACAAATCTATGATTCTTTAATATTATCTTCTTGAAGAAGAAAAACATTTGGTAGCCTGATATTTTTATTCTAATATAAATTATGTATACTACCTAGTGTCCTAGTACATACTATGTCGGTAGAAGGAAATTTCATATTTTGCATTTGTTAAATTATACCTACTGTATTTTACTACGTAAGAAAATATGTCTTATACTCTTATGGCATGATCAAAATATTGCGTTACAAAAAATGCCGTTAATGTGATCCAAGAAAATAGGTATATTGGTTTTATAAATCAATATTATATAATATGTAAAAATGGATATTACTTTATCTGAAGTTAAATAGACTTAAAAACAATACAAATTGTATCATTAGATTCTTTGGGATTTGGAGGGTGCTTATAGCTCATTTGTTCAACCCTATAGGTGCGAAGTAGGGGTAGCTTAAATTTTTAAAATTTAATTTTCTTTAACTTAATTTTTAACTCAACTAATTTTTATTTATATAAAATAATAAATAACGAATAATTACTTATCATCAAATCAAATTTTGTAAATTTATCAATAGTTCAATAATAAAAACAATACAATGATTATTGGTGATACATATTGCATAAGCATTTTATTTTTATTATTTTTAACCATTCAACTGGCTATTTATATATTTAAAAATAAATAAATAAATAACTTAACTTAATTTATAAGTAAATTATAAGTTTCCATACTACTTTTAAATTAACTAAGGACAAAAAATTAGGATAACTATTAACTTTAAACTTTTTACAATTTCTATCAACTTAAATTAACTAAAAATTATCATTTAATTGCTCAGGCTTGTACTTAGGTATCTTTGTAGAATATTATTGTAATTATAAGTTTAAATATATTTAGTAACATAACAACCATTGATTTTCATCATCAATTATATCGGTATTTTGCTATATTAAATTATGAAAAATACTATACACATATATATTATTAAATTATATTCAATATTGTAAAAAAAAAATAATAGTTATTTTATTGTATAATTAATGTATTAATATAAAAAAAAAGTTAGGTTAGGTCAGGTTTACTCTAGTAATTATTTATTTTATTACGTGATTTTTAGCAGCTAGGTTATTATTAATACAGCGAAGTATTTTAGACGTTTTATTAACCGTGGGTGATAAATTTCAATAGGGACGAATGATGATTGGGCGTAATGATACTGACGTGCCAGTTAGATACCATAGAAAATGATGAAAAATCTAGGCCTAAAATTGAATTTTAATAGTTCAATATTTGGTTTTATTAACGAAAATTACAAAATATTTACTCAAATATAATGGAGTCCGATTGAATAGGACTTCAAGGTAACGCAAGCAATAACAATAGATACATCGCTACAAGCTGGTGGCAAATTAAAGTTACCTATGATAATACATTTGTAATCAAAGTATTTCATTCGGAGAAATTCGACTGAACCTAATACGTATGTGATTCATACAATCTAATATCATATAATATGTCAGAGGCACTCTACGATGGATTGCGAACCCCACATTGGGTCACACGATAACTACATCAGCTATAGTAATAAATCGATAAGATGCAGAGTTTAAAGTGTAAAATTTAAAGACTTATCCACAATCTGTATATTGTTTCAGAATACCGTACAAAATTATCTAAAACCTGTAAATTTATGTGAATATTATACAACATAACTTATGTAAAAAATTGCAATGCCATTTGTAAATAAATTAATTTAATTTCCCATACGAATATAATTAGTAAAATATAGCTGTATTTTTTTGACAGGGAAGTAAAGCATAATAAAATAGTTCATGATGATCAATCAATGGCAAGGACAAACAATATAATTAACAAAAATAGAGTTTCCACTGGTCATCTTAAGTTATACGATATACCGTACAAAATAAATGATTATAGCAATACAGAAGATGATATTTCAGCTGATGGAATTGGTTGGAATACTATTGATGAACCCAAAAATACACATCCGGTGAATTCGTGGGCAGGAGATACTGATATTTGGGATCACCCCTCTCATGGAACAGCAAACATTGAGTATGGTTATCATAGTCCACCGAATAGAGTAACTAAAGATCATCGTAGGCCCATACAGCAGAAAGAGAACAAAATTGATTGGCATACAATCGGTACATTGGCGTTCATTAAACTGGGTTTGGGCAAATTGCAGGCAATCGGTTTTCTAAACACATTATTCCTTATTGTGTTTAAGCTCAAACTGTATATGACTGCGGTATTCGTTAAATTTTTATTAATAATGAAACTTATGAAGTTATCCAAAATCCTTATATTACCGTTATTAATTCTACAATTATTACCAACATTGATGCGATTACTTCCAATGAGACAATCTAATAATATGATGAACTTAAATGGGAGCAATCAGCAAAACCAACCCGGTAACCTATTACCTGGTGGAAACACTGGAACACTTCGACCAGGTGGAGGAACTGGAACGGGCCAGACAGGTGGAGCAACTGGAACACTCCGACCAGGTGGAGCAACTGGAACGGGCCAGACAGGTGGAGCAACTGGAACACTTCGACCAGGTGGAGCAACTGGAACGGGCCAGACAGGTGGAACTGGAGCCGTCCGACCAAGTGGAGTCACTAGATTGGACCAGACGAAAAGATTATCATCCTTTAAATTTGATGATTTAAATTTAACTAGTAATCAACATGATGAGTCTTTGGTGTTGTTTGACCCCACTTGGGAAATCTTCCAAAATATATTGGATTCAGAAAAATGCATAGAAAGAATAGCTTGCCAAATTTCTGTGGCAGAGAAGGCTGGTGTCATGCCCTTCTGGATTAACTGGTGAATATTTATTGATATCTTATAGCTGAATTCTGATGATAACATAAAAAATAATTATGAGGATGTCACAACCGCATGTGTTGCTCAATCTTGCAAATGTACAATATAGCACATTAGCGTCCAACAGAACCAATTTTGTATTGTTAGCTTTAATATTAGATGGAAACAACCTATAATACAATTTATAGATAATAACAGTATAACTGGGGGATGAGGTGACCGAGTGGTCTGACGCGTCCGCTGCGACGCAGCCGGTCGCGGTTCGATCCTCGGCTACCGGGCGGCATTTTTCTCCGGACAAGTCGCGGTGAGTGGTGACCGGAGAACAAGTGCTGCCATCCCCCACCCCCGGGGCATGGCAGAAACCTACGGGTGCCCCATTCGAAATTCTGCCAAAAAACAAACACACACGTGTTCCCCCCTACCGTTCCAAAAAATATACAATACAAACTACAATACAAATCCTACTACAGCTAATGGCCTCAGTTGCCGAAGCTTAAGTTCAATAAAAAAAAAAAAAAAAAAAACAGTATAACTATAATTATAACAGTATATTATTTTTTACATCAGATTTTTAAAAGAATTTAAGTTATAAATACATACATTTTTAAATTGTAAAAGGTAAGGCAACTCGCTTGAAAATTATTTTTTTTTTTAATTGAGATACATTCACAAAATATATTTTACTTTAAAGTTTGACCATGGGTAACTTCAATATTAAAACTAACATCATAAAATTGAATCTGCTGAGCGAAAAGTTGATAGTATTATGTTGTTTGAGAGACGAACACAACATAATAATATTCTGGTTGAGGAATCCTCTTTATGTTCTTATTAGTGCATAGTAACAATTTTTTAGAACAAACTTTAAAATGTAACTCTTAATTAATAAAAAAATGTTATTACATTTTTATTTTTTTAATTCAATGCTCAGCAATATTGTGCCCTAATGTGCGTTTATAATATTTAAATAGATACATTATTTTATTATTATATGAAGGTGATATTTTATTCGACAAATATTTTATATTTTTAGGATTATATACCACGTCTCAACATTTATTCCCAGCGATAAACTTGTATCTTATCTCAAAACTTACAAAAATGTTAGTAATGACATTTTAAATAATTCAACTTCTTCAGTGAATGGGACAACATGGTGTTTAGAACGATACAAATGTAATAGTACCAATAACGTATCAAATGTGGTTAACACCGATTAAAAATACCTACATTATTTTTGTGTTTATTTACTTAATAGGTAAGTACGTAAAAATAAGCATGCTTTATAAACAATATTTTTTATACCAAATGTAAAATATTGATGTGTATAAGTTTATCAATAGGTTATTCAACAGTAAGTAGTTAAGTAACTATTTGTTAATGCCAGGGATATTAAATAATATTTTAAAACTTTAAGGCTAACATTTTGTATTTAAAGAATTTTGTTATTTATAATACAAATTGTAACTACCTGATTTTTTTAGAAGTTTGTTAATTATAACGTCAACCTAAATGTTCAATATTCTGCGAATAGTGAATGAAGAACATTAATGATTAGTCCATTAAACATTAAAATATGTATCATAAAAATAAAATATTTGTACCATCAGATGTATGTTAAATGTTAATGAATATCATAATGAATTTATAAATTGGTTGTTTAATAAGTTGTATTTTAATCTATTTTATTGTATATTCATATTTTTATGGTAGAAATACAATAAAAAATGGTCAAACGGGAGGGGGATATACCTCCCTAATCACATCCTCTTACAAAATAGGCAACCTACTCTGGGTTGTTGGTAATTTATCACTATATCAATAACTATAAATATTTAAAATTATTATAGTTAAGACTCTCTACAAGTTTAAATAGGCAATTACCTAAATATAATAACCTAATTAATAATATTAAAGAACCAATAAAATTAATAATTATATCGAGTAATATCAACAAATTAGACTCATAATATATTATAGGTACCGCAATTAACCAAATTAATAATAATAATATAATTAACACAATTTAATATATTATTTAATATTTGTATGTGTACATATATTCGTTTTATCATATACAACATCAGCTAATAAAGCCATTAGCTTAAGCATATTTTCATAAAATGTCTAAGTATAATAAATTACAATTTTTATTATATATACTGGAGGGAGAATCCCTCTGCTCACATGGCTCACTAACCCTACCCAATATAGCCATCATATGCCCCCTGAAGACTTCTACACTGTGACCCAATGGTCACCTTGAAATTTAATATCTATAATTTAAAATATTTGAAAATAAAATATACCTTTTTTTATGAAATAGATAGGTAATATAATATGTACAATAGGGTAGATTGCTTAATATTTGCAATAATTAATTTTGTTTATCCAGTCCGGTATCTTCAAGCGAGGGAATGAGATCGTTCGAGACTTGAGTCTTGATTATACATTATGATAGGTACCTAGTCTATAAACTGTCATAGAGCTATGAAGATGTGTTTCATTGTAATCGTCACCACACACGAAGTTAAAGTTGTCAGCTTAGGTAACACCATTACGTGTTAAGCAATAATAGTTAATTCTCAATTTATTAATTTTTGTTTGTACACAATATTATAAGAAATGTAAGTTTGTATTTGATATATCATTTTTGTTTATAATTATGAACGTTTGTATATATTGTGATAATAATATTGTCATTAAACGAAAAAATGTATCTGTACAATATTTTTAGTCTATTGATACTTTAACACCACTTTCCTGTAAAAAAAATATATATATATTATATTATTATAGGTATTCAGTTAGTTTTAAATTATATTTATATTCCAATTATGACGTGTGTACATAGGCACGTCGATGAATATATAATTTATAACAATACAGTATTATCCTATACATACACATCTTGGTTATGTGCACCGTAAATGCTTAAATGCACATTTGGAAGTTTTTCTAAAGATTCAATTTCAGCATATTTTTCTGAATTTCCGTGCAAAGTAACTATGGTAAATGCGTCCGATTTACGTTGACACTCCAGTCGTTTATTTGTTTTTTTAGACTCTATACATCTTTTATCTTTTTCTCTAGAAAATCATGTTATTGTTTAACGTTTTGATTCGTTTTTAATTTTACTTTTTATAATTCAATAGTTGTTCTTTATTGTTACCTGAAATGCTTTAGTAAAGTAGTGCCACAGTTGTCGAGTTTTTTCAATTCAACGACATCAATTTGAGAATTATTGATATCGTGATTTACATTTATTTGTTTTTCTAAATCATCACTGGAACACTAAAAAGTTAGAAGGATAATTAGTGGTATTAATTATTTATGTAACTACCTAGTGAAAAAAGTATGTTAATAATTATTTTGTTTCTGTAATAGTTTACATAATATATATATATTATTTTTTTTATTGATCTAAAATTTGACCACTATGACCCTTAGCTTTTTTTAGGGGGGAACGGTTGGTTTGAAACACGTAATGTATGTGTGTCAAGGATATTGTTGCTAAAAATCCCGGGTGGTCACCCATCCGAGAGGTAGCAACACCAGCCGGTGTGTACACTGTACACTTAGAACGCGTACGCAACTGAGTGTAGACACCGCGCTACGCCGCGCCACTTAGGTACATAATATTATACTACGTAATAATTAACAAATTATCCTGAACAATATTATCACATACACATATATTTGAAATCATTAATTTTAAAGAAAAAATCTAATTTTTATATTTTTCACAATTTTTATGATTGAGTAATATTAATTAATAGTACCTTTCGCTATACTCTAACCCTATTATTTATGGCATGTATTTAAAGAAACCACCGGTTTTAATTATTTTAATTAAATAATGTAATTTATTATATTATAATAGTATTGTCTATTTACCATAACTCCGTAGATTAAGTGGTATAGCTTATTAATACTCTATGTCTATATATTTAATTTATTAAGTTATATTAATATCCATTTAAACTATGTAATGTTATGCTATAAATAAACATTTTAAAAAGTTAAAAATATGTTTTCGATACCTACCTATAATAAATCGGAAAGAAGATATAAAAAACTAAAAAGTACTAAACTATTTTTCACATTAAATTATACTACCTACGTATGTTATCGGTGTACACTCGACCTTTTTTAAAAATTATTTAGCATCAGAAATATATGTATGTAACACATCAAACTATGAAGTGAAGGTGTAAAAATTAAATTTTTATGTAATATTTATATTAAGTTAAGCCATTTTTAGAATGATCGTTTTTAAAATATGTCCTCATTGCAGTAATGATGTACGAGTGTACCACTACTGCCTATACGACACGCCGTTCTATGTTCAAAATTCAAATAAACATACTATCAGACAAAAACAAAAAAATGTGAAGTGACGACTGACGACACTTGAAAACTCACTTTTGTTCAATTATCTCAGTATAAAGCAATGATGAATAATTATTACAATCCATTTTGAAACAATGATAAAACATTTCATTCAAAAATAATTCTATGTAATGTTGGTAGAATATTTTAAATAATTTCAATTACTCATTATAATAATAAAATTATCATTATAATAATGGGTATTAAAATTGTAAGTTGACATATTTTCCATACATACCGATTCTCAATTCAATTATTATAATTTACAAAAATAAAAACTGTTACTGTTTATACGTATTATACATATATGTAAAATTGAGTTTTTAAAATATTTTTCTAAATAAATAAATTACTATTATTATTTAATGTTATTTTAACAACACTCTATAATATTGGTCACCAACAAGTGCGTTACCTCAGGCTCCCAGAGTCCCAGCACAAGTACTTTTGAAATCATAAATTGTAATCAAGCAGTATTATATACTTTATTTTGTACAATTTTGTACAGCCGAAATTACATTTAGTACAACCTTCTTCAACCCCCCCCCCCCCCAAAAAAAAAAAAATTCTAATTACAATTTTTAAAATATGTCCTCGATGCTCCAAAACCCTCAACAATTAGTAATTTCCATATCATCGCTATAGCTATGACAATTATTAAAAACAGAAATACATTAGGTGGTAGGTACCTTCAAGTTCATACCAAAAACCAATGCATATTAATATAAAAACAAACATATTGTATAATATTCATTAGTAAGATAGGTAAATTACTAGGATAAAATGAAACTTTAAGTGAAAATACTTGATACGTTTTAGTATAGTAAAGGTTAGAGCACGACATCACGAACGGACAAATTAGTGATTAATGTGGCTCACTTGTTAAAAAAAGTTGGCAATCCACCTTTCCACCCCCCCCCCCCCAAATGGGTACAATTTAGACACACTAAATTTTAAATACATATTTGTTCAATTTAGGTTGCTATTGCCTACTGGTTATTGAAAATTTATAATTTATATTGATTTTTACATTTTCGTACTCAACATTAAATTGGATTACTAAATATTATGAACCATTAATTTCTTGTAGGTATAAATCACTCTTATATTTATAATAAACATAAAATAACGAATCTTTTAAAATAATCATGTACATATTATGCAAACGTTAAATACCTAGTTCATATTTTTGATTTTATATTAAGATATACGTAATTGATTTTTTTAAGCAAATAAACGGATCTTACTTTCTGCGTGATTTCTGGAACGTGATCCGTACATTTTCTTAGCATGTCACAATTATTTGGATTGCAGTCAAGCACAAAACCATTTTTTTTTTCTTTTTTCCACTTTGTTATTGCTTCTTTTTGTCTATTTTTAAGTTCTTCAAATTTGACGAACCAGTTTTCATGTTCACGTGCAGCATTCTCAGTTATATCTATAATGTTTTGAAAGTCATACAAATATAATAGAATAGCTATTACCATCATGAAAAAATAATGTAATATTGTATAAACTGTTACTGAATATCTGCATAAATGAGATAATACATGTGAGTATGATAAAATATTACAATTGAATTACTTCAAATAATACGCTTAGACGTTTAAATCATATTGCGATAGTTTACAAAAGAATTGTTTTATTTATTTTAAAATACTAAATAATCAAACTAACATCCATATCTTAACATCTACAAAACTCATTATACAGCAATGTTTTGATGATGAAAATAGTTTTGTTATATTATGTGCATCAGTTATCTGAATTCTGAATGCATAATACTAATTTGATTGTGATGTAGCCATGAAGGATTACCGATTAATTAATTAAATAATTATACTCTGAAAAAAAATTACTATAGGATTTTTTAACCTTGTTAACAAGTATCCTCAGCTTAACTTTAGGCACGCTTCTCAGATATTTGATTCAGTTGCAACTTAAAATAGTTAGTGCGTTGAAATAATTGTAGTCTATAGAATGAATTACATGTAAAATTATGTATGCAAATGTGAAATGATAAAAAATCGTCCAAACACTTCAAGCAAAACTGATTCTGAATACGATTCTTTTAGAAATATACAAATACAACAATTTATTTGTTTTGAATTTCGAATTTCATTTAAAATGTTTGTATAGTCAAATTTATTTAAGATCTAAATACGCCTTCAAAAATTATAAATTGAAAAATGTATTACTTGTGTGAGAATATATTCGTACATGTTTGTTTTTATATAAAATTCCACAAAGCTCTTTTAAACAAATTAATATAACACATTATATTATATTATTATGTATATTAGACTTTGCAGTGTGTCATAGTCTAAGTCTCTTAAAAGGAGCAAAAACACGTTTGTGTATTAAATTATCTGTTCAAATATTACACCTTGTCCGGCTCTCTCTGAATAAATATTGAGTGTTTGTTTTAGAAATGGAAATCATTAACTATGATAAGTATGAAATTTTTATATTATGTATCTCATTAATAATATTTTCAAATAACAATAATTAATTTTGTGTACGAACAATTTTATTGAACTTGCACTTGGCTCTTCGGGTTTATTTTATTATAGCCAATGATATTTATCCATTACCCAATATATTATATTAAATAATAATAAATTAAATACGTGTACACAGTACAATTCATATTGCAGACACGTATTCATAAAGCATTACGTGGCATTGCTTGTACAACATGATCAACGAAATCCTCAGCATCGACATGCTTGGAACGAATCTTTAAAAATATTTCGTGATCTTTGCTAGACCAACCTCCCGTAAAACCATAGTTACGTGAACAGAAATCGTGAAAATCTGCTACTTCCTAAACGAAACCATAATATAACATAATATTTTATTATTGCCATAATATACAGATAATATACGTATTTAGCATAATATTTTTATACTTTTGAGGAGTAAGTATTTTTTGAAATTGGAACTCGTTTGATTGTTTTTGTTTCCTTCTTTTTTTTACTGGTAGTATCGGCGTGTGGCTTTGAAACTACGTCATGCAGTGCTACTTGCTTTACCCGTTCAATTTCTTCAAACAGTACGGATTGCTTAAGGCTCTCTTCTCGTAATCTTAAAAATATTAATTTCCTTAGTACTCTGTAATACTCTAACAAATTTATTATACATACACATTTCAGTTTACTTTCACTCACTTTTTTGAGCATCCTTCTTTTAATTTTGACAGCTTCGACTCAAATGTCTTTATATCATTTCTAAAATTTTCAAACCCTAAAACAAATTCCTTTTATTACAATTACTAGCATTAAGTCCTATTTAACTACAATGCATTTTACTAAATATGTTGTTGAATTGCCAAAAAAAAATCTCAACCAGTAAAAATAAAAATGTTTATATTTTTTTGAGAAAATTGTAATCATTTGTTACAGAGAAATAAACCTCCGTATTTTAATAATTCTTGCCACGATTAACACAAATTCTTAAATAAGATAATTTGTTATCATATTTTTTACACCTGAACTCATGAAAACTTAATCGCAAAAAAGTATAAGTGTATAGCCTATACTCCAAAAAAAAACCTTACTATTTACTTGTTATAAACAGAATTTAAAAAAAAATACGGAACTATTTTAAGTAGGCATAACGGTTTTTACATACCTACTATTTTGATTTTATTCACGTCCAACGCAGTCTTTTTCAAATAGGATAGTTTTTTTTTCATTTCTTGTATCGAACTGGCAAGTTGATTCAGATCAGCGTGTCTGAAACACGATGTGATAGATACTTCTTATTATTGTACTCTCGCATATACATGCATAATATAGGGGTAGTACATTCGAGTAGGTACCAAAGTATTCGAACAACATCCGTTTCTATGATGGGTACGACACTACGACGGACTACGTTCATTACTCACCTGGAAGTATCGAGTTCTTGTTTGTATTTCAACATCTCCCGTGACGTAGGCCAGACGTTAGGTTTCAGATGGTTTTTGAGGATCTGCCAATGGACTGCATCTACAGCGCGGTCGTCCGACCAAGACATGCTTGCAGTTTGCACTCCACTCGTACCGCGTTTAACGTGTAGGTATAATAATATTAAAATATACAATATAAACCAGTCATAATAAGAAAAAAAAATGTCTCATAATAATAAATTATTGTATGTTATAATCGTGTTACATAGTTTGATACACCGTCAGCCAATAGATTATTTGACGTTTCAAAAAACCTAACTGCAGTGCGCGTTCAAACATAAGCACGACGCATATACTTGCCACCTGCCAATGTCGGTTGCCGGGTAACATCCAAAGCCCTCAAAACAATGCAAGCTTACAGACCGAATTTAAATCGAATACTACGTAACGTGAACCACTTTATTCGTAACTGTTATTGCCTGTAATAATGCAATATATTGTAATAACACAAAATAATATCTATAGCATTATTTTATTTTTTGTAGATATAGGTATCTACGTACAATCGTACCACACACACTTACACTACCAGACGGTTTTTGTTGTTGACATGGATTTATAAGTAGGTAAACGGAGAATAATATAAAATCTATGTACCGGTGTGTGCCATGTTTACATAGCGCAGAAAATTCGATAAAACTGTTGAGGGGTGGTTCAATGTGGGTTTTTTTAATGTCATCTATATTAGTAACACTGCTCGATGTAAATTAAATAAAGATATTTATAGTATACAATTTTAAAAAAGTTGTTTACATTGTATATACATATACATCGTCTACGATATATTCTATTTATTTTGTACATAAGTTCATCATTTGAGGACAATATTTGTAATTGTGTCTAACTAATTTTTTTAAAAAAATCGTTCTAGAATGTAAAATTAACATTCTTACGAACATAATTTTTCCAAGTAGGTAATCAGTATCTTCTATTATCAACTAAAAAAAAACCTCTTATTGAAATCTAATTTCATAGTATATGGTCTAGTTTGTTTATACTTTTATAGTAACTCTGTGGTCAAATAAAATTATTTACAATAGATTTTGTAGTTTGTACCACTTTTAGGAGTACAATTCACTTTACATATTTAAATGTGAAACATATTTTAAATTTAAACACATACGTAAAAGACATCTCGATCAATATTGTTTATTATAAATTATAATATGTATGATTTACAATCTTTTAGTCAATAAAAAATGTACAAGACATACAAAATTAATAACGCGAGGGTATACCAACAACTATGTGATAACACATTTGTGTATAAGTAATATCAATAATATTGAATTTCAGTAGAACTTGTGGTAAGTTGATGATTTGTATGGATTAAGTGATTCGTGATGATGGTAATCAATGTCAGAGTGTTAACTGTGATGCTTCGATTTTCTTGACAACAGCGTTGAAACCGTGCTCGTGGTCGGCGGCGTACTCGACAACGCGTGTAGAAAAACGAATTCTCATTAAAATATTTAGTATAATGCGAGTGTACCTAAATTATTATAACTTAATGAACGCATTTACTGGCTAGCATGCGCAACGCTATACCCGTCATCTGGTAAATATTTGTTTTTTTTCTGTGACAGCTTACAAGATGATATTGTAATAATTGTATTCATATATATTTCCAAGTTCTAATAGGCTATAGGCATATGCTTTTGTCTTTATAATGGAAAACGAAAACATAAACTACGATAGGTACTTCAATGTAAATGTAATCGACGTCGTAAATCAACTGGTCAAACAGATTGAAAAACTGTACAGTGAAGACAAACCTGCAATAAAGGTGGGCAATTTTTCAACTAAAATGGTCGAAGCAGTTAAAACCTAGTTGGACCTTGGATCGAAGCCGATCGTGGGAAAGGAGTATCAGGGGAAGAAGATGTAGCCTGTGTAGCTATTGTACAGGCATCAATCAGCACAGAAGGTTCACGCCATGAATTGACGAGGTGACTCGTCGGCATGGCATGAAGAAGAAACAAAAAGACCCAGAAGAAACAGAAAGACCCGGCCTTCATGTTGTTGTAGCCGAGGAGAAAACACCTCCCCGTGGTCGAAGAATGCCAGACAAGACGGCGGCGACGCGGGGAGTAGTATATGTGAAAGAACACGATGGTATGGCAGTAAGTCAGTAAGTCACCCTATACGTTCACTAGGTCACGAGATCGCGGTCGGCGAGCACCCGACAGCGTCGGTCGTGCGAAAAGTGACAGACGAGTAGACGACAACCGGGGTGGGGGGGCTAACGGTGCCGTCGAGGGCAACGATTCCTCCCCGACGGTACTTCCGACCGATTAGTGCGTGCACGAAGTCGATAGACTACTGCAAAGCACGACGGATGAGTGTGTATGAAAGAGCTAAGCTAGAAACACGGACGTCAGCGTTGTCGGACCCGCGGAAACTGATCGTGTTTTAGGGTATGGTGGCCGGTGGGGATCGGCACAGTGAAGGGGTGCCAAAGGGATAAAGGGGAAAAAATCACGGAGTAGTAGGACCACGGTGCGGTCAGTCGATTCTCTCCAATTTTTGCCCAATGGTAATCCCTCCGGTTGCAGCCGATTTCGCAGCACCAATAGCTCTCTCCGCTAGCCAAATGTTTTTTGGTCACCATTGGATGTCGTCACGAAAGTCGTCTTCACGTCTTAGCGCACAACACTAGCTGCTCCTCGTCAGTCGTATTGTTGCTCCCGTGACCGTCACGGTCGGGTCTTTAACCTATGATGGTCGTCGCCCGCGAGCAAACGCGCCAAAGACTGCACTCATCCGCACACGGGATCGGACTTGGAACGTATAGAGACGACCAGTAGCTTTTGCTTTATTCACACACCTTTACGCTATCACATACCACTTCCCTCATGCGTATTGTGTCTTGTCAGGTGTTTTTTTTCCATACCTCGGTTAACAGAAATCCGAATTATCACCCAACGGCGGGTACAGACGGTACTGATCGACCTGCAGACGCGCGGTATATTCGTCGAGTAACCTTCGGCCACATCTTAATTGATTGACTGAATATCACTTCACGCGTGGATCTTAACGAACTAAGTACTGTTTTGGAAACTATTTAAGTCAAAGAAAAAATTTAATTAGCCATAGAAGTTACAAATATACCGATAGATTGGTTTTTTTTTATTTAAAGGTGAGTATAAAACATGATGAAAGAATATAATATGCTACAAATATTTAAACATTTTTGCAACAAAAAATGTAAAATAAAGGATTATTTTAATAAGAATGATTTAAATTGTAATTATTATTCCTATCAAACTTTAAATACCCATCTAATTCTAATAAAAATAAGCATTTACATAGAAACCCGTTCTCTAGTATTGAATGAATATTGACTTTGTTTTGTACTTTTGTAGTATTTTTCTATAGTCGTTTTATATGTTTATAAAATTGTGCAATACAGCATAGTGTTAGATACTATAAGACATTTTTTTTTTAAATCTAAATGTACCATAATACAGTGTTTGGAAAGAACGTCATTCATGAATACACGTTTACAAGTTCACTTTTATATTTAGTGAACAATACACGAACGTCACTCGTTTTTATCTAATTGAACGTAAATTACGTTTATGTTTTAATGAATTTGAACGATTTTTAAGATGCTCAATTTTTTTGCAATTTAATAAATATATGTTTAAAATATATTAATTACCTAATTCTATTAAAAAGTAAAAATGAAATGAACGACCTAGTGAATGCGTTCATTTTTTCAATGAACATGAACGAGTTCCTTTTTTAAGGACTGAACATGTACAATGAATATGAACGAATTCATTCTTTTAGTGAGTGTTCCGAAGACTGCTATGAAATAACTGTAGGTAAAACTTATTAACTGTTTAATAGTTTTAAGACTAGATTCTCTCTGATCAAATGAAAGTATTTCTAACTTCCCATTAACATACAACTATTAGAATAAGATGTATACATTTTAGAGTATTTTGCGTGTCAAACAAATAAAATCCAATTTAAAAAAAAAAAAATTAAAAGGAATAGTGGATTTATTTAACAGTGTAAGTATTTGTAAACATTATATTATAAACATTTTGATTTTCTTTTATATCTTTATTGTTTATTACAATAATTGTTTTTGAAATAAGATAATGAATGTATACAATATTATGCATTCTTGCTCTTATATTTTAACAAAAATAAATTTAATGTTTAAATGTTTTAAACAAATTATTAAAAAATATTTTTCATTTGTTTTCTTTAAATAATATAAATCAAAAAAAAAATCTTACTAATTTACTATCAATTTATTAATTAAACATTTACTATTTGTTTATCGAATATTGTTCCGATATTCTTCCAAAAGAAATTATTTTCAAAAATATTAAACGTACAATATCTTAAATTACTATATAACCCAGCATCCTTCAGTTATATTTCTGCTCTGTTGTCTTCTATAAATTAGACACTGAAGTATTGTTGGCAGACTGTTTTAAAAAACTAATTCTAATTTTTTAAGTTTACAGAACCTTGAACGATAAAAATGTCACCATTTCTGTCTTCTAAACATAAACTGTGCTCATTGCATAAATGCAACAAAGCAACATATATAACAGATACGGTTATATTCTCTTTCATGTTGTCTGGCAATAATTTTGGCAATCTTAATAATAGATCAGCAAATGAGATATTTAATGTTTCCTCATCATCAGGTTTAATAATATTCATAATATATTTTTTAAGTTGATTCATATCTAAGTATCCAGAACTACAAGTGGAGTACTCCTGAAACACAAAAAAATTTAATTAATGACTTTGATCAGTAAAATATGTTTTTAAATAATTTACTTTATAGGCATTATCTTGTGTATTTTTTTGGTTCAAAGCTATGGTTAAATTGTTGTCATTATTTATTACAGTCATCATTTCATCAACCTCATTTCCACACTCAGAATAATGATCAATGTCCATGACATTATTGTCAATACAGTCTGTATTCTTCAAAGGAACTTCATCTACCTGAACATAATTGAATATTGATTATAATGTTTTAGAATTGACATATTAATAATATTTTGTTCATACTAATAATCTATCTCTTAGAATATCTTGTCCTGGAAACAAGAACAGTGAGTTTGGATTTGAATTCAAATTTAATTTTTCAAATTCATGTTTATACCAGTTAGGAATCATGTTAATATACTTGCAACTTTCAAATCTGTAATGAAGAAAAATATGTTAAGTTTTAGATATTTACTATTATAATTTTCAATAAGTACTAACTGTCTGATAGGTATAGTATTCAATTGACCAGATGAAGGAATTAAGTTATTACTTGGTTTCCATTTAGTATAACTACAATAGTTTTTATCAGAATTCAAACGTAAATTTTCTAATTTTGTAGATATATCTGAATAAAAATCAACCTTAAATGTAATAGCTCTGGAATTCCTACATTTATATTCAGGAACATTAGTTTCGGAATGTGTTTGAGATGCACGTGACTTAATCAGCATTGCTTTCTGTTTACCTAATAGCAATAAATATACATAATTAAAGAGTAATGAACTATTGTTTAATAATTAAAAATAATACACATCCAAAAAAATATTACTGTCAGTTTTCATCATTTTGACCTTCACTTTCCAATGATTGGAACATTTAAATTTACGCAATTGTTTACGATCAAAGAATGTATAATCACTGCTATCGTTTGTATCCAACATTGATAATGTCTGGGATAAAGAATCTGTATAAAAACAACAAATTCTTAATAAACAACAACTACCTATTTATAGTTGTAACAAACATAACAGTAATACAACCCACCTAAATTCTCTAATCTACCGAATTGATTATTATTTTGATTAGACGGCCCTGGATCTGTATGTACTATTAATTCGGAACTTGGTTCGTTCAAATCTTCATCCATTGCTTCATCAGATTCTTCAGAATTTTTGGAACAAAATGCAGATGTTTCTTGATTAAAATGTGTTTGAATATTATTTAATATGTTTATGTCGATTTCATCATCATCACTATTTGTAATTTTATCACGATCAGCTACAAATCTATGAAATGACGGACAAATTTGTCCGTTTTCGAGTAAAGCTATATTGCGAACAAAAATGTAAACAATAAAACAACTTATTAGGCATAGTAAAAATATTTATTTTTAGACTTTGGACAGAGCAATGAATATGAATATAATGATTTTATAGTGGTAAGTTTTTTGTTTGTGACTAAAAATACTTTTTATAGTATAACACACCAATATTCAACTTTGAGAATGGTTTCTGGCAAAAAATAGTATCTATTTTGTACTTACAGTATTTGCTTGCAGGCTGGGGAGTCAAAAGTAAAAAATATTACTTTTCAAAATAATTGAATAATTCACCAAATATTTATTTTATATTAGAAATTTTTAATATAATACAATTTTTTTTTTGTCCACAAAAAAATCTTGAAAATTTAATACAAGGTTCCTTGTAAGTTGTTATTCTTACAGCAAAATAAAAATATTTAAATTGTATACATTCAATATTATTGTGTAGCGTGATACAGAGTGACTACTTCCCTAGTTTTGTATTTATATTAATGAAATTTATGTACCCAATATTAAAATATAAACTAAAATTAAAAAGAATTAAGATTAAAAAAATTGGGTTTATTAACATCAAAGAGCAATAATAAATGGTTAGGTACTTTAAAAAACTTTGTTATAGGTTCATGCAAAAACTTGTTTTAACTTCATCCCTCTCAATTGTACAAATTATTCAAACCAAAAGTAAGATTGACTGATGATTGATAATATTTATGAATATTAATTACTTGTTATTTTATGATTTAAAATATAAATCAAAATACATTTATTTGGAGTAAATAGTATTTCTTTTGCATGCATAATATAGGTAATACTGATTTTCAATGTATAATATAATATTAAATGATTTTAATGACATTAGATGGTAGTGGAAAGTTGTACATGAATAGCAACATATTGATTTAGACATTTCCAACACCAATTCTTTTTTTTAATTACTAATTATGTTATGTTATTTAATGTTTGATATGCAATTTATAACTAGGTAAATTACCTTCTATTTTCAATAGGACATTTAAGCTCATAGCTAAGACAAAGACAATAATTCTTTAGAAGGAAAATTTGCCAACTCTACCTTCAAATATTAATTTTTTTACACACCACAGTGACTGCACCTTTTAAAATTAAGTCTACTTTTCTGACATTTTCAACTGATTATGACTGTATGCAATCCATCCACACTTGAATTTGAATAGAATAATGTTTTTAAATATGTGACTACATCAATATTAAGTAAGAAAGTATGAAAGAAAGTAAGAATGATATAATATACTTACAAATTATATTTTCCATTTCATATGTTTCTTGTTGATTTTCATTCACTTTAATGTTTTTGGAAACTCTGTATTCTGGCCAATATGCGTCATTAGAATACCTATTAAGCAGTATTCTTGAAGGTTTTGCATAGTCAATCATATCATTATCAAGATCAACACTAAGATAATTTTTTCTAAGTAGCATCTCGTTGTCTTTACAGCACAATTTGTCTGGTGTTGTTAACATTAATTTTTTCTAAAATTAAAAAATACTATATTAATTTTACTACCAGTTATTTTAATGATAAATATTTAATACATACTCTACATTTTTGTTTTGTTTTAGCTGCATTCTCTTTAACAAGATTTTGGTTTTTGGCTTCTGCCACAAATTCCTTAACTAATTTATTGCCGGATATCAAAATATCATCAACTCTACATGAGTACACCTTACTAATGGCATCAAATGTATTACTAATTCCCTTATTTAAGATAAAAAAAACAATCATATTATCATCTAATTAAACAAATACAAAAATGATGTTTATAAAGTATCAAATTTACCAAAATATCTGTTTCTTTAGATCTCTTTACCATTTGTTGTACACAACTGATTAAATCTATATCAAATGCATTAAGTACATTGATTTTCTAAACAAAAATGTCCATAGTCAATTTTTATTACAAAATATTAAATAGAACAAAATCTTACATTTTCCAAGTACAATGCATTATACTTTTTTACTTTTGAGTCTAAGTCCCCAATGGATAAGTTATTAATATATTGTTCATTGTCATCCTCAAGACAAGATTCTTCATTTAATACTGCCTTAAATGAAGTTATAGAATTTTTTTTTGATTCATCTCTTTTGTTCGTCTAAAAATGATCCTTTATTATTATATTTGTAAATTGTATATAAATTACACATACTGAATATCATTTGTTTTTCTTATTCATAAAATAACATGTTTGCTTTAGCTTCATTATTTATATTTTAGACTATTGATTTTTTTTTTATTTAACTTAAAAATTATCATCTAAATTGATAATATAACTATTATTTAATTTACTTTTTAATGCTTAGTTATTTTTTAGATAACATATAATAATTGACTATTATTCATTATAATTTATATCAAACTGCCCAATTAATCAAATTAAGCACGATCATAATATGTCCTATATATTTTCTTATATTTTCAATGTTAAGTTGATGTCAATATGAGATTTAATGTTTACATTATCACAAACTCATTTGAATAATTAGTAATGCATGATCTATTACATAAGTCATTAAAATCAGGGACGTGCTCATTGGAGTTGAGAGTGTCATATCCCTCCTTTGACTTATTTTTGTCATATAAAATATAATATGATAAAGCAATAAATTTATATATAACATGGTCTGAGAATAGTAAAAATTTCATATCTACCTTTCAAAAAAGATGAGCACACCACTGACTAAGATTTAAATCTAATGTCCTGCATACGTAGTAATTTTTTAAATAGATATATACAATTCAAGAAAACAATAAAATAATAGTTAGTCATAGGTGTGAGCATAGAGGTGCTTGGGCACCCCTGGATCATTCGACCAACGCCCTAATTATTAAATAAAGACCCCAATGGATTGTAAGTTTTCAGTATTGTTAGTGGTAATCTGTATGTGAATTATTGTACTACCTAAAGTATTTAGTTTTTAAAGCTTTACTTAAAATTAGTTCTACAAAATATATAAAAAACAAAGAGCTAATGATAAATTAGAATTAATGAAATTGCCAATAATCCAAAACAACAAAAACTTTGTTTTTCTATCAAAAATGAGAGAATTTGTGTGGAAGTCATTCACTGAAAATTGAATCATTTCTCAAAAAATGATATTTTACCAACTATTTGTATAATTACATTTTTTTCATTGGGAATGTAGTGATGATGGAATTACGAAAATAGTTATGTTATTTTACAATGTATAAAATTGAAAACACTATATTAGTTTTCAGATTATCAGGCATCGATAACAATTATATATTAGGTATAACGACAGAGTCGATGGACCAAGATATTATTTATACTTTATGCTAATATTTTTATCTTTATATTCAATATTTTTTTCTTATGCTTAATATTATTACTTCGTAAGTTGATTTATAATACATTTTTAAAATGATAAAAATAATAAAAGTAAATAGTTGTAAATGGTATAACACACAGTTATTTTGCATTTTTTATTTGTACCATTCACAAAAAAAAATTTGCCTAAACTCTAGTTTTAGGGGAGGGGGGACGAGATTTAAGTACATTTACAAGCCGTTGAATGAAAAATGGTGGGAACCACTGGTCTACGCCTAGTTCTTCGTAATTTCTACATTTTAATTATTAACACCTTCTATGTAAATTGTTTATAAGTTATCCTTAAGTTTCAGAATGAGTAATAAAAGATTAACTTTGCAAAAGAAAAAATTTAAGTATATAGTGTATGATAATTATAGACAGCAAAATATCTTATGTTAACATCTTCTTATGTGATAAATAAAATAAATAAAAGTATTTCCAACAAATATTTTACAGTAGATACCTAGATGGGCTAGATGTAAAATGAACAACTATTAGGTAACAATAATATGAATATATGATATATAATTGTATTAATTTATCAAGACAACCATTACTCACACTATTATTTATATCTTGAGGGTCCATGTTATTTTATATTTTATAAAAAATAACAATGTAGATAATAATGTTATGATTATCTACTCAATAAATTTAGAATAAGAACGAAGATGAAAAATGCCATATTGCAGAGTGCAGAGTCACCGGGCGTCCAAAGATTTTTCGAGCTTCCAACTGCCAAAAAGGCGAAGACGAAGTGCCCAACACCATCAGATTGTGGTAAAACCTCAGAATAGGTTTAATCACAATTCTCAAAAAACGGCGATTGTCGGCTACAAGATAATATTATGGCAGACAGCTGCGGCCTATTCTAAAAACACAACTACACAAGTCACAACCATGATGTCATAAAGTGAATTTACTTGACCATTTGAACACGATGAGCCGGCCAGATACATGCACAAATAATGTAGATGATTCAATATATATTTTCAAGTTTTCAACAAATCATTTCCAGTTTGTGTAACGACCAACGTGCAGTGAAATCGGGTCTCAGAGAGTAAAGTTAAGTGAGTGAGTGACTACTGACTAGTGACTGAATATTTTGCGGCTTTTCTTAACTAGTGATAAAAAAACCTTGTGACTTGTTTACTCTTTGCGTGTATACTCTGTTGCATATCAATAAATATATCAGGCGTCAGCATTTAGAATACATAATACAGTCGACTCTCGGTAACTCGAACCTTGATAACTCGAAATTCTTGATATCTCGAATAAAAAAAATTCCCCTTCAAATTACAATAACACTTAATGCTTAAATAATCTTGTTAACTCGAAAATTAATTTGACAAGTTTTTGACATCTCGAATTTTCTTATCCAAATTTAGTACTAAAAATAGTTTGTCGAGACGATTATTTTTCGCTTATGACTTGTTTTGTAAAAACCGACCATTATAGTCAACTATATACTTATAAATTAAACCTTGATAGGTAACTCCAAACAATAAATTTCATTTAGTCCTATTTCGTCTGGTCGTTTAATCGTTTATCGTGGTTGTAGGTGTGACAGTTTATACTTTTATAGTGTGCCAATACAGTGTTTATTATGGCTCAAAAACTAAAATTAACAACATTACCACTTGCAGAAAAAGTAAACTTGCTTAAAATTGTTGAAAAAGACGAAAAGAAAAAGCAAGAAATAGCTAAGGATTTTGGAATTCCAAAGAGTACATTGTCTACAATAATAAAAAAATAAAGATATAATTTTAAACAATTTTAATGAAAACTCGGCAACTCGAAAAAAAATGAAATTAGGAGAATATTCTTATATAGAATCTTGTTTACTAAAATGGTTTCAACAATGTCTTGACAGCAAAATTCCAATAAATTGACCCATTCTACGAGAAAAAGCTGATGAGTTTGGGCATAAGTTAGGACATGGACATTTTAAAGCCAGCATGGTTAATAAATTGGAAAATCTGAAATAATGTTATTTTTAAACAAGTCTGTGGTGAAAGTGGCGCTGTAGATGTACAAAAATGCTCTGTATGAATGAATAATTTACCGAAACTCATCAAAAATTATTCATCAAACGATATTTTTAATGTAGACAAAACAGGATTATTTTTCAAATGTTTACCCGAAAAAACATTCATATTTAAAGGCCAATCTTGTTCAGGTGGAAAACATAGCAAAGAAAGAGTAACTCTTCTGTTAGGTTAGGTACACCAAGGTTACTTGGTATCTTAGAAAATATAATTGAAAAAAATGTATTAAATAAACAAAAACAATTAACTTTACACCAATTCTTTAAAAATGATAACATATAAGTAGAAATGTAAAAACATTTTTTGTATAAACCTTTTTTTTATAATTTTTTTTCCCCCTTGAACTTCGAGTTACCAAGATTCAACTGTATAGTCTGTAATATTCTTACTCTATGTAATACAAGTAATACAACATAAAACATAAGGCCGTGAAATTCACCCGTAACATTTATGGCTAGGGAATTATGACCCCAGAATTATAATATGCTCTAAGCCACTAAAATATGCAAGATGTTTCATATACATGCATTTATGCACTGATTATCATTCAAATACTCACTTAAAATATGCAAAAATACATTCAGAGGCGGATTAGGTTAAAATTGTAATGTTCCCGTTTGAAAATCAGAAATTGATAGTTATTTCATCAATAACTATAAGGGTGAAAATAATTAAAATATTCAGTTTTAGAAAAGAATAAATCTAAGTTTAAAAAAAAAAATTCAAAAAATGTATATACTTTTTGAAATAATTAGTGTACCCTTTTATAAATGGATTACTCTGCATGTATATATGTAGTTATTTCTTTTTACTCGTATACAGTTTAATATTTATATATAATGCATAAATGTATGTTAAATACAATACAAGAGTTTGAGTATAATATAAATATTTAATGCCGTTTAAATCATTTAATTTGAACCTCATTGGGTTTGGGTACTCAATAATCGTGATTCGTCGTGGTCCATGATCTATTCTACGATTATTGATTATTTTATTGCCATTTTCCGGGGCCTAAAACTCGGAGTAAGAACCCCGAAATATTAATCTCATGGACTTGTAAGGTTGATTCAGGCCCGATTCGCTGACTACTCGTTACGCCGACTCGAAAACCAGTCTCCTGTAAAAATGAAAAAAGTTCCAATTCGCCGACAAAACGTAGTTTTATTAAATATAAAAATTATATTTATGTGAAAATCTAGAATATTACAATCTACAATCAAAATGTTGATAAAACTATGCTATGATATTATTGGCACTTGTCAGTTGACAGTTAGTAATCAATAATCTTTGCATCGTCAATTAGTTATGTAATAATATTAAATTTAAAATGTCATAGTTTATATTAATTTCTGAACTTTGGATAATTGTATACATCGAATTTGTAGAACTAGAGGTTCTAACCACTATTATTAATGTATTGATAATTGTGGAGGTTGAGCAATACACAGAGAAGATTCAAATAACGCTATAATGTCAAATAAGCTTAAAGTGAGTTTGTTTGAATTTATACAATTTTATCCACGAATTTGTATACCGTTTTTTGAATTAGTTTTGAATACGTCTTATAACTTAAAAATAATTTATTTGAAGGACGAAGTGGTAATAAATCCCACGAAAATTATATTACAGACATTTAATGAAATCCGAAGATCAATTGTGGCTTGAGGAATAGAGGACTATACCAATTTATACTAGTGTAAAAAGTTCAGCATACAGGAAAGTATGAAGTTAATGCCAACATTACCTAAAAAGCTGTCTGAATTAAATATTGAAGGCGATTGGCGATCAACGAATGCTGGAAAATATTTTATTTTAGGTATTTATACCAAATTATTTAAAGGATTTACTTATATTTTATACTATTACTTAATTTACTTATAATAATATTATTACCTACAGGATGTGATGGTATGGATAATAAAATCGTTATATTTGGTACCGATGGATTTTTACGACGTCTTTGTTCTGTTAGATTACCGGTGTTACTGGTCTGTACATTGGTACAGTTAAGTCAGCACCAAAATTATTTACACTAATATACCTTGCACTGCTTTGTTGAAGGAGTGATGATACCTTTAGTAATTATAATATAATTTTGTTGTTTAGTAAAATACTAAGTTTTATAATATGTTAAAATATATTTTTTTAGGCTTACTACGTATTATTGCCCAATAAAACTAATAAAAGTACATAGACATATTCAAGAATGTTTGAAATAATAAAAGAAGCGGCATTAAGAAATAGATTAGAGTTCGATCCTGATTGTTTTCAAATAGATTTTGAAATTGGAATGTTCGTCTCCATGACGTGGTGTTTATTTCACTTTGGGCAATCTATTTGGCGTAAAGGTAAGTCTGGGATTAACTTACGATTATACATATGACGATAATATTAAAAAAAGTTGTTCGCCGTCTTTGTTCATTAGCCTTAGTTTCGATTGAACAAATTGGTAATTGTTGGACAGAAATTCATAGTGAAGCATTGTAGTCAGAAAGTGAATATAAATTTTTACGTGATTTGTTAGAACTTAGCAAAACTTAATTTTTTTACTTTTATTTTTTTAGGTTTGCTAAAATTATTCAATTATTTTACTGAAACTTACTTGGATCCAGATATTTGTCTATTTATTAAAAATATGTGGAATCATTTTAATACAGATGGAGCAAGGACAATAAACCACCTTGAAGGATGGCATGCAGCTCTTAATAAAGCTGTTGGTAGACCAAAGCCAAACATTTTTATTCTAATCAATGAGCTAAAAAACCAACAAACAAACTTCGAGCTTGACCTCATAGCACAAAAAAACTGCAATCGACTAAAAAAGATGAAAACTAAATACAGAAAATTAGAAAAAAGCTTATCATTTGCAAAAGATTTAAAGATAGGTAAAACGTATAATAATACATTTTTTTTCTAACATTATAAATTATAATTTTAGGTTAGAAAATGGTACGATTTATATTTTGGAATACTTGGATGCAAAAATGTTTCATTTTCATTTAGAAAACAGAAGCTCATAAGGTTAATCCATACTATTAATAGTTAACTTTTGTGATTTATACAAATAATTTAAAACAATAAACATTATATAATATAGACGTATAGTTAGTAAGCATAATTCATCAATCATCATAATAAAGAGTGTCGGAAAATCGGGTGTCGGAGAATTGATTTGTCGGCCAGTTGGTTGTCGGTATGTCACTGTAAGGTGAACTTAATACAAAGACAAAATAAATATAAAATAATAATGCTTATAATGTACTATTATACTTAAGCCATGCCTCCATAGTCCATGGTTAATCGCGAACAGAGGTAAAGGTCTGATCTCTAGTGGCAATGATATGAACTATCTGAAATGGGCGCGCTGCAATAAATGATAATAGCCATAACTCATAAGCCCACAAGAGAAATAGTTCGTATCTATAACTCTTTTTTAAAAATAAAAATCACAGATCATCAATGATATAAAACAATAAACATAAGATTAATACACATATTTTGGATCAACTAAAATGTTAACAATTAGGTGTAAACATAAATCCTGTTGCATTCCACAATGTACTGCCAGGAAAACATGGAAAACGAATGATTAAATGATTAAATATTCACGACACACACTTTGGTTATGTTTAATATTCTTTTCAAAAATAGAAATATCTTTTTTATAAATTTTCAATTGATCAGACTGTTAGAAATAAATTATAAATTGTGTGAAGAATGGGCATGGAAATTTACGATTTTAAAATGCACATAACTTGTTTCGAAATAAAAATATTAAAAAAATCTACGAGGTGCCCAAGGGCCAAGATAATATTTTGATATAATTGGTTCAATCCTTTCTTTCTATCATTCTTTAGTTTGTTTCTCATTGTCATTCACAAGTCAACAACTTTTGGTCGGAATCTCATCCATTCTGAAGTTAAGTCCTGATTTTAGACCGTAGTAAAATCAGTTTCACCATCCAAAAATAAAAATTAAAAATGGAGATTATAGGATTAAAAATTGAGTATTGATAAGATGTTACGAGAACAAGATAAAAACACCTATTAGATAAAATAAATTTGAAATGTTAATTGATAAAAACT